ACGTCAGAGTGCAGCGCCACATTAAATACGCACTACAATGACAATAGTTTAAAGCGATTTGAAGCATGTTTTATATTCAAAATGATAATATGATTTTGGGGGGGGGGCAGAGCTTTGTGACGTCATATTTGAGGGGGGGTCAAATTTTTTGTGACGAGGGGGGGGGTCAAAAATCGTCCAAAATCACGTGACGTCATTTATGGACGGCCCTGTAGGTGTGGGCGGAATGCGGTGGGCGGGGCTTCAACACCTAGAGCTCCTCCTCCTTGTGGTCACAGTCACGCCCACCTCGGGTCACTGGTGGTGGTGGAGGGGGGAGGGAGGAGGGGGGGGGGGGCGCGAGACACTTCCGTTTGGCCGACTGCCAAAGAGGCTCCCGGGGCGCTGAGATGTCGCAATCAGATTGACAGGCGGAAGTGCGTCGAGCCAATGCTATGAACATGCTTAGCGTGTGTGAGTGTGAGTGAGTGTGTGCGTGTGTGCGAGTGCGTGTGTGTGTGTGCGCTTGAGTGTGCGTGTGTGCTCACGGCCAACGCCAGTGACGAGTATCTGAATCGGTCCCGGGCCTCCCCTAGGTCGACTCAGCCTCAAATGAGTACCTGGTGCAGTGTGTAAACATTGCCACTAGGAGACAAAGGCGGTCGGGCGTGGTGCTGGCCACCCACCCCCTCGTGTACCGTTCCGGCCTTCATAGGTGCTCGCTAACAGCACTTGCCTCTACAGTCTGTTAAGGCTATATGGGGGATCTGTATCTTTGTTTTGTGTGAGTGCGTGCGTGCGTGTGAGTATGTGAGTGTGTGTGAGTGAGTGTGTGAGTGGGGTGGGGAGCGGTGGTGTAGGGGTTAGCGCGCCTCGCTACGAACCCCGGCGACCCGGGTTCCATTCCCGCTCACGGCCAACACCCATTGACGATTATCTGAACCGGTCCTGGGCCTCCCCTAGGTCGACTCGGCCTCAAATGAATACCCGGTGCGGTGTGTAAACATCGCCACTGGGGAGACAAAGGCGGCCGGGCGTGGTGTTGGCAACCCACCCCCTCGTGTGCCGTGCCGGCCTTCACAGGTGCTACTCGCTAAAGAGCGCTTGCCCCTACAGTCTGTTTCAGGGATCTTTGTCTTTGTGTGAATGGCAGGCAGGCCATTCATAAAATGAGCATTCATAAAACAAGCATTGCCCAGAGCAACCTCAACACGCTGCGAAGCACAGGCCTCTTGCAAAGGGTAAAAGTGCGAGTTCGAATCTCGGTCGGGGGGGCTGACTCAACCCATCATCACTCACGGTCGGATAAAGCGACGACAACCGTGTGGGGAACGCGACAATGCTGGCCTGTGGAATGACTTGGCCCTGCCATAGGAATGCCGAATATCCACCACTCGCTCAGCTGTAAACGGGAGATGAGAACCCGCCCCTTCCCGTCGTTTTAAAGGAAACCCATCTGACTTGGGTGTTCGTCGCTGATGTGTTTTTTTCATGTTTTCGTGTTATCTGCTGTTATTAGTTTTACTACCTTCCAGCGAGAAACAAACACGGTATTCATCGAGGTTTACGGCATGTTGACAAACCCCCTCTCCGAACCCAGGGAAGTTATTAGAACTCTTCGGTTTTTTTAGTTGTTGTTTAATGATCACCTTCGGTGTTTTTTACCCGGGGGGAGGGGGGGGTTACGAGGAAGCCATAAAACTCATCCCCACCGTGCGAACACCGCGTCGCGTCGCAGAGACGAATCTCTGTCACGTGGCATTTAAAAACGAAGGACTCTCAGGACACAAGTGCTGCCCGTGCTCAAGTGCTGCCCGTGGCACGCACGTGGGCGTGCATTGTGCGTGCATGTCTCTGCGGGGAGCGGTGCCGCTGCAGTTAGCGCGCTGCGAACCCCAGTGACCCCGCTGCGAACCCCAGAGACCCGAGTTCAATTCCCGCCCGCGACCGCTAACAGTGGCGAGTCTTTGAACCGTTCATGCGGCCTCAAATGAGTGCCTGGTGCGGTGTGTAAACATCGCCACTGGGGAGACAAAGGCGGCCGGGCGTGGTGCTGACCACCCACCCCCTCGTGTGACGTGCCGACCTTCATCGGCGCAATTCGCTAACAACACACAAAGACAAATATCGCCCGTATAGCCTTAGACTGTAGGGGCAAGTGCTGTTAGCGAGCACCTATGAAGGCCAAAACGGCACACGAGGGGATGGGTGGCCAGCACCACGCCCGACCGCCTTTGTCTCCACAGTGGCGATGTTTACACACCGCATCAGGTACTCATTTGAGGCCGAGTCGACCTGGGGGAGGCCCAGGACCGGTTCAGATAATCGTTACTGTGGTGTTGGCCGTGAGCGGGAATCGAACCCGGGTCGCCGGGTTCATAGCGCAACGCGCTAACCGCTACACCACCGCTCCCCACACACGAACATACATACAGACGTGCACGCGTGTGCAATACTTGTACATACACACAATATACACATTTGACCGGGGTTAACATTTCCCTTCTTTGCAACTTGAGCAAACAGATGTCATGGGGGCTAATGTCCGGTACTGCTCATGCACACAGACAAAGCTACCTCGTACAGCCTCTTACAGCCTGTCGGGGCAAGTTCTGTTTGGCAAGCACCTATTAGTGCCGGCACAGTGGACGAGAAGGTGTTGTGGTCCAGGCTGAGTCGACCTAGGAGAGGCCCAGAACAAGATCGGATATTCGCCAATGATGTTGCCCTAAGCAGGAATCAAATTTGCGTCGTTGAGTTCTGAAGCGCACGAACGCAGCGGTTAATGTTGCCACAATGAACAGCAGCAACTGCCATTGGCCGCTGAGTGATTGTGACATCACCACAGAGATTGTGCCAGGCTGGGTGCACCTCGAGGCAACATCAACTTTCGAAGGCTCGCTGGCAAGGAGTTCACGGGACAGACCCAGGCGTAATGGGTTGACTGATTGAGATGATTGACAGATGCACAGACTGTGCTCCCTGCTGTGCCAACTTAGTCCATGCACGCAGACACGTGCATGCACATTCAGTACACACACACACTAACATGTACAATAAAGACACACACACACGCAAGCATGCAAATAGAAGACAATTCGCCCACATAGCCTTAACAGACTGTCGGGGCAAGTGCTGTTAGTGAGCACCTATGATGGCAGGAACAGGACACGAGGGGGTGGGTGGCCAGCACCACGCCCGACCGCCTTTGTCTCCCCAGTGGCGATGATTTGACACACTACAGCAAGTACTCATTTGAGGGTGAATCGAATTAGGGGAGGCCCAGGACCGGCTAAGATAATCGTCACTGGGTGTTGGCCGTGAGCTGGAATCGAACCCGTGTCGCCGGGTTCGTAGCGCAGCGCAGCGCTAACCGCTACATTACCCCACACGCAAGCACGCAGATAGACACACGCATGTCCACACTCGCACACATAATGCGCGCAAAAAATATTCCTCACCATAGATACAGTTAACAAAGTACGTAACGCGTGAGGCCCTAACATCATTGACAGTGCACTTTGTATTCTGTTTGATATTCTTTTTTAAACGTACTTGGCGTGCTATAGCGCCGGGGATAAGTGAGAGTGGCTTTGATTTGCCCGCACCTTGACTGCACATTCACATTGGCACTCCGTGATCACCGTGACAAGCATTGGCAAACCGTGACGACTACAAACCCCAGCAGTGTGAAGCCAGAACCATTCATAGAAGTCGTTCCACTGGCGGCTATTCTTGTGAATGGCATAATCGGAACGCGCCGCTCTTTTGCGACGTGAAGCATCGACGGAATCGATCTTCCACCTCGGTTCTCAGGCTCGGGAACGCCCGCGTAGAAGCGCGCATAAGCGTCGGTCACTCGCGGTTGATGTACACGGTACACTGATTTTATTTCGATTTTATAACTTTCATGACTGCAGGGATTCATATTCTTGGTTCTTTCGGTAAAGTCACGTCTTCGCGAATAGGGCCAACACAACCGTACGAATGCGATGAAGGCGTTGAGAAACAACACGAACTGAGACGGTAAAAATAAACTTGAGATGAGTAAAATTGTGACTATTCATTGAACTAGGGCAGTGGGAAATGCACAGCGTACAAGCCGAATAGCAAAGGCATATAGATATCCCTTGTCGCACTTGACCAGACTGTTGGGGTCAACTCTGTCGACAAGCACCTATGAAGTCCGGCACGGAGCACGAGCGAGTGGTCTGACCAACCACACACCTGACCACCTTCGTTTCCCCACTGCACAATGTACTAGGTACTAATTTAAGTCTGAGTCGACCTACGGGTGACCCAGGACCGGGTCTGATATCACTTGCTACTGCTGATGTTAGCCAGAGGTTGGAATCGAACGGAGTTTGTCGCGCAATGTGCTAACCAATGCACCACCGTTGCTCCAGACATACCCAATCCACACTCACGCACAGCGCAGCATTCATGATTCATATTATTTGTTTGCTTGTTCACCCAGGAAAGCCTCACTGAGGCTCATGATTCTCTTGCAGGAGGATCCTGTCACGTGTTGTGCAGTTGGGGGTGCGATGTTGCTGCGTGTAATTTCAATTATATGCGTGTATGTTGAACTTCTTTCACAATTGGGCTGACGTGGTGTCTGTACCCTACTGATGAGCTCTAAGAAGGACGAGACCTGTCTAGAGGACCGAGCAAATTCGTCGAGATATAACGGAGCCTCGATTCATCAATAATTACAACGTGCAGACCGGTTGCCTCTGACTCACCGCTGCCTGTTGGCTCGTCACATTTGCTCACTCGTGCCACGGTGACACGCATGATACGGTGACCACAATGCAGTTCTTCAGGAACTGGTGTTTTTTTGTTGCGTAAACGCTTAAGGGCTGAGAGCTTTTTTGTTGTGCACGCACAGTGCACATGGTACACGCCACAGACCTGACCGCATGCAAGTAAGGCCCGGTTTTGTAATCTGTGCTGAAGCCGTTGCCGCCGTCAATCGAGCTGTCTTCTAACGCGAGCCGTCCCGCCTCCGCCCGGCGCAGGGAAGTTCAAGCTGCTGGAGCAGGAGCGGGACATGAAGGACCCTGTGCAGTACTTCAACAGCGTCGAGGAGGTGGCCAAGGCGTTTCCAGACCGCGTCTTTGTCATGGAAGACATCTCCTTCAGCGTCAAGGTACTCATCTTCTTGGTTCTTTCGGTAAAGTCACGTAGAATGTTCTCCACCTGAGGACGGCTACTTGCGTTGTGGCCGAAACGTCGTGAGAATTATTTTATTATGTTTTATTTTTTATTATTTTATTATTTACATTCTACGTGACTTTACCGAAAGAACCAAGAAGATGAATCCCTGCAGTCACGAAAGCTTTAAATCGTCAAGGTACTCTTCACTGTTAACGATAACTACCGCTGGGGCCTGCACCCCTTCCTCGCCAAGGTGTTCGCCAGTCGTGCTGCCTGGTTAGTTATTCGCTTGCCCAAGAGATTTTGTTTCGGGAGGGAATAATACGTGCTTTGGGATATTTGTCCACTAGTGTCACCAGTGAGGGTTTTAAACTATAAGCTATTACATTTTTTTACCAGGTAAGTCCCACTGAGCTATATAGATGTTTTTTTCAGAAGCGACAAATGATAGCTCAATGAAGTGGCTATTCGTGTGGAAATTTATATCAGTGGCCGGATGCTCTAAACGCGTGATGTTGATTCTAAATGTGGAGGGAAAAACCAGAGGACCTCGAGAAAAATCCACGTGACCACGGGGGAGAACATGCAAACTCCAAATATACATCAGGCGTTCGGGTCGGGATCGAGCTGACAACTTGTCTAGCAGGCGATGTATTGAACATCTCACGACCGTGGCGCCCCATACGAATCAGAATATTTATTGACACTGGAGGAATCTGATGAGCTATAAAGCTCTCCTTCTTCTCGCTCGCGTTTAGACCCCTGTTTGTTCCCTGTCCCTCCGCCGTCACATCCTCTTACCTCCCGTTCAAGCTCTGGCCCTCTTACCAAACAAACCTCGTCACCCGTTCAGCGAACCTGTCGTACGTGATTTGAAACCTGGCTCCGTGTTCGTTTATCAGCTGCGCATTACAGACAGAGGGAAAAAAAAAACCTCACCTGGCTGGATGTAAAATTGTTTGACTGTTTTGCTCACGCCCCCACATTCGAATTGGCACCAATTTGTAACGAGAGTAAAATGTTACAATGGCATCTGTGTGCACCTGTGCCCGCGTGCGTGTGTGTGGTGTGTGCGTGGTGGGTGTGGTGTGTGCGTGGTGTGTGTGTGTTGTGTGTGTTGTGTGCGTGGTGTGTGTGTGTCATGTGTGTGTTGTGTGCGTGTGTTGTGTGAGTCGTGTGTGTGTTATGTGCGTGTGTGTGTTGTGTGCGTGGTGTGTGCGTGGTGTGTGTGTGCGTGGTGTGTGCGTGGTGTGTGTGTGTGTGTTGTGTGCGTGGTGTGCGTGTTGTGTGTGGTGTGTGTGTGGTGTGTGCACATTTTGTTTGGCAGCTGTAATCTCAATGGGTCTTTATTGCTGGTGGCACGTGTCTCCATGCACACCCAGTTGGCTCTGAAGCAGTGTCAATTATTGAACATTTCAAGGAGCCAAGGGGTAATTTTTATCCTCGCCGGGTGCTAAATAAAGGCGGTTTTAAAAGCAGGGGATTAGAGCACGTCATTTGTTTGTCGTGCACTCTACAATTGCACGCAATTCAAGCGAATAAGCTCCCGCGTTTGGAAGATAGCTTTTTTTTTAAGTGCTTTTAGTCTACAATGGAAAACACGTTAAACTCGCTGCCAAATTTGCTGAACGTGCGTGCGAGCGTCGCGCGTTGCAAATATGACTTTCGTGTAATTGTCCCGTGAGGCTGTGCGCGGAGCTCGTGTTTGACAGAGGTAAAAACTACGGTGAATGAAAACCGTTTTCGCAACGAAAGCACGGCCCTCTGGCGTGCACGTACGCCGCAGCCCCCAACGTGACTTTCGAGCGGATTTGGAGATGACGGTTTAGCGAGGCGACGTCGTGAACTTTGCCGTGAGAAGTGGTTGCTCATGAAAGCCACACTTGGCCCCGAGTTGAACGATCTAATGCTGACTTTGAGTCCGTGTGGGTGAGTCGATCTGTGCGAGCGTGTGTGGAGGCAGGAAGGGAAGGCGGGAAAGAGAGGGGGGGTTTGTTTGGCAAGGGCTGCCCTCTTGATTTCCCACAAACACGCAAGGTTCAAATCGATAGGAGGGTGCCAAGAGCGTCAGTGCTGCTTCCTCGGACCACATAGCCAGCGGAAGCAATTTGTTCGCTCAAACATGCGAGGCCTTCATTGGCACTCGTGCCCTGCGTTCAAGCGTGTTGGTTCGTGCCAAAATAAAAGACCGGGAGTTAAAAAAGAATTCGCCTCTCTCTCTCTAATTGCAGTTAGCGGTTAAACAAAAACATTAACGCGACTATTCTTGGTTCTTTCGGTAAAGTCACGTAGAAGGGAAATAATAAACTAATATAAATATAAAACAATAAAAATTCGCACGACGTTTCGACTGCAACACAAGCAATCATCATCAGGTGTTTATATTATTTTATTATTTCCCTTCTACGTGACTTTACCGAAAGAACCAAGAATATGAATTCCTGCAGTCACGAAAGCTTTAAATCAAAAATTGACACGACTCTTAGTTTAGTATTACATTTTTCTCCTCAACCCGTTAATATGTTTTTTTGTCATGAGCTGAAGAAACGTGTGCCCCTCCCGGAGGGCTTACAGTTAGCGAAGCCTCGTGTCGTGTCGGGGCCCCAGAAGGAGACACTGCAGAACTAGTTCTGGAGTCAGGCCAGCATTAGACAGTGCTCCTCCGTGCTCTGTATGGAGTGATTCACCGCACGGGCCTCTGAGCTGTCAGCCAGTTGTGTCCTCCCTCCGTCTTGGCTGCCATTCGATCAGCAGTCTCATACGTTGGCCATCCTCCCTCCGAGGCCCCAATGCGTTCTGCTCAAGCGCTCGCTAGTGAACGTCTCGCCACGGTGGCGAGATGTTAACTCGCTCGCAGGAGGTCCGTGGGTTCGATCCCGACACCTGTAAATTTGGAGTTTGCATGTTCTCCCCATTGGTCGCGTGGATTTTTCTCTGGGTCCTCCGGTCTTACCCTCCGCGTTTAGAAACGTGCGTTTATAGATTTATTTGGCTATAAATTTACGCGTGATAAGCCACTTTTGGTGGGCTATCATTTGTAGTCGGGTCGCTTAAAAAAATTGCTTTACAGCTCAGTGGGCCTTACCTGGTGAAATAAAAACATTTTCGTTTTGTTTCATAGTTTCACAGTCCCGCACCTCCGGTGAGCACGGTTGGCTTCGTACGGTACGAAAGTAGCTGGAATTCTCGTCCACCCTAGCAAGTGTAGCGGGATGTTTCGCGGGGTTGATGTCAGTCGGTTTGCCACGGTGTTTCCACACTCCGACGAGCGTCGATGTTTTAAATGCCCATTCTTTTTCTCTTTTTCTCCGCTGCCGGCTGTAAAAAAGGAAAACCTGGTGTCGCAATTGTTGCAAAGCTCAGTCGTTTTATTCACGCACTCGCGTGCTCGCTCGCACGCTCCGTCTCTCTCTCTCTCTGTGCCTCTCACCGGCGGGGTAGGGGGGGGTTCAAGGTGCACGCTGTTACCGCTGTGTGGTGGCCACGGTTCGTAGATCCACCGGCCCTCCCCGCAGTGCGTGCAGACACGTGCGCTAATGGGGGCCGCGGTGTGTTGAGCCACGGAACCATGCAGCCTCCTTCCTTCCTTTGCACTGTCGCTCGTGTGTTCGGTGTGTGCGCGTGCCCCTGTGTTCTGTGTGTGTGCGTGTGTTCTGTGTGTGTGTGTATTTTGTGTGTGAGCGTGTGCTCGGGGTGTGTGTGTGTTCTGTGTTTGTGTGTGTTCACGTGTTCTGCGGCACGGGGTGGCATAGTGGCTGAGTGCATTGCACTATGAAAACCGCCAACGAACCAGAGTTCGACTCCCGCCAACGACCAGTACCAATGGCGAATATCTGAATAGGTTATGCATCTCCCGTTGGTCAATTCGGCCTGATAAATTAGTACCTGGTGCGGTGTGTAAACATTAGCATTGGAGAGACAAATTGTAGCCAGGCTTGGTGTTAGCCTATCCCACCCCCTCGTGTGCCGTTCCGGCCTTCCTTGCTGCTTGCGACCAGCACTTGCTCCAACAGTATATTAAAGGCGACACGGGGAATCTGTCTCTGTATGTTCATACATGTTTGTGTGCTGGGCTAAGCATCAACGCCGGGGAGACAAAGGTGACCGGTAATGCCTCCGGCCACACCCCACCCCCTCGTGTGTCAAGCAGGCTTTCATTGGTGCTCTCTTAGAGCACTTTGCCCAACAGCCTATGAAGCTGCACAGGAGTATAGAAACAAGGTGCTTCAAAATAATGTTAACACTTAAGAGAATTTGCGGCAACACTACAAGAGATGTGCCTCCGGGCTCTGGAGACCACCTCGAGAAGATTCCAGGCCACGTGTTGACGGTGATGGCTCTTACCATATATTTGTTATCATGTGACAGTGTCTTCGTTCATTTTCCATTAAAAACGATAGTCCCATATAAGTGTTAACATTTGTTTTGAAGCACCATTCATATTTTGTGTATCAAGAGCCCGTTATTGTTGTCGTGGAAATCCAATTCTGCACTTGTTTTCCGAAGGCAAAAGAGTGCATCCGATACTTCTATCGATACCTCTATCGATACCTCTATCGATACCTCTATTGATACCTCTATTGATGACTCTATCCGGGGGCACAACTATGGGGAGGGCATCTGGTAGCGTCATGCAACGCATAGGGGCCCAGTCGGTCACAGGGTTGGACTCAAATCAACAGATAAAAAACGGAAAAAAATATTAAGAAAATTGTTTGAACAACATTATTTCATTATAATAAAAACAGTACCCGGGGTCTACTACCATGGACCAATCCCGATGATTCACGCATCTTGCTGTCGTATCAATGGAGCAGCGTAAATTACTCTTTGGTTCTTTCGGTAAAGTCACGTAGAAAATAAAATCAGATAATAATAGAATACGACGTTTCGGTTGCAACACAAGCAACCATCATCGGGTAAGAATGAATGATAAAACACAGACACGGGCACAGCATAGGCAGACACACACGCAGAGAGAGACACACACAAAGACACACCGAGCGAAACACACACCAAGACAAACAGAATCTAGTTTGAGCAGCGTAAAGTCGTGCGATCCACCCCCAATTGGGGAAATCCTTGACCGATGGGTCCGGCATCGTTGTATTAATACTGTCACCCTGAGACTTGTCTTTCTCTAAACCCCAATACACGGCGCAACTGCAATCATGTTGTAGCCTACATATGATTGTTATACGGGTTAAACACATCCAAGGCTATTTCAGTAAAAGTGAGTCGGGAGAAAGGAGGGGAGGGAGGGCCCACAGTCGAACCTTGAAATAGGGAGTTGCCCCCGCCTGCCTCTATCGAGATGATTGATCATTCCCAATGCAAATCGAATAATGAAGCTACGCTTCCAAGGCCCAGAGTGGGTCTCCGCGTGTTTTGGTCTGAAATGGAGGGGGGGAAAACATCCATTGTCCCGTGTATTGAGGGTCGACGACTTTGTTGCGAGGGCCGGCAAAATTCACGCGCCTACCAACGGCGTCCTCGATTTCGACGAGCGATTTTCTGGGATGGACGCGCGAAATTGAAGCACCTTTTCACGTAGGTTAATTGGGGGACGTGAAAATTACCGCTCGCGTTTGCGTTGTCGTTTTAAATTACAGCGTGCGCTGCTGCTGCTGCGCTGGCAGACCCTGGCATTAATGATTAAGCGTCGCTTTTTGTTTTATAGTTTAAATCGTATGAATCCTTCACGCAACTATTCAGTGTGTGGTTTCTTTGTGTCAGATCGTAATTTAATTAAATAAATTAAACAATCCCTTGATACATTTATTGAGCTATTTTATTCATTCGTAAGCAGGTAAGAGCCAATCTGCCTGACTGGGTGGCGCAGTTGTTAGGGCGTGTGGCAAGAGTTTTCACCCAACTTTAAAAAATCTTAGCTGTGCCCATTATTCTGAAGGCTCCATTCGAGCAGGAGTGTTGACTGTGCCATCGTGATGAATATACGGTGAAGAGATTTTGAACTTTGTGTTAAGTTGAGATCACCGAAGATAGATAAGAATGACAGCATCTGCAGTCAATTAGATTTTATTTAAAGCTCTTTGTCAATCCACTGCTGCATGAACACTTGCTCATTATGCGAGGGGGGGGGTGCTTGATCATACTTCACCATGCTGCTCATTGCACGCGTAGTCATAGGGCGCGAGAAGCCCACGACCAGTTTAGAGATCGCTCCCCACTGACATCGGCCATGGCCGGGAATCACACACGGGTTGCCAGGTTCACTGAGCGCGGCACGTGCACGTCGCTCCGCTGTTCCGCCAGCAATCTCATTGACCACGACGCGGATCCAACTTTCCGGTCGCGGAGTTTGCAAGTCACAACGCGTTTAGAACGGGGATCATCTTTCTTTATGTTGTTGTAAACCTTTCCACAGAAGGCCACCGCCCTAACGCTGCTGCTGCTGCTGCGTTTGCGCCCAGGTCGCGTCGGGCGAGTTCAGCGAGGACAGCGAGGTCTACAACTTCTCGCTGAGCACGGGCGACGAGCTCACGCTCATGGGCCAGGCCGAGATCCTGTGCGGGAAGCCGCCGGGCCGCGACCGCTTCCGCCTCAACGCCCTCCTGCGCAAGCTGGGCCGGCTCAACGCGGCCGTGAGCGGCGGCGGTGGCGGCGGCGGCGGAAACTCGGGCGGCGGCGGCGGAGGGGGCGGCGGCAACAACAACGCCCCCTCGTCGGTGCTGCGCCCGTCCAAGGGCAAGATGCCGTGCCTCATCTGCATGAACCACCGCACCAACGAGAGCCTCAGCTTGCCCTTCCAGTGCCGCGGCCGCTTCGGCACCCGCAGCCCGCTGGAGCTGCGTCTGCGCGAGGGCGAGCACACGCTGCGCTCCATCCTGGAGCGGGCGCGCCTGCCCGTCAGCGTGCAGGTGCCGGGGCCCGGCGGCCTGGGCGGGATGGTGCCCGCCGGGGTCGTCGTGTTTGGGGGCGGAGGAAGTGGAGGAGGAGGAGGAGGGGGGGGAGGGGGAGGCGGAACGACGTCCCGGGTTCCCGCTGGACCCCAGCCGCCGTCGGCGCCGCCGCCGCGCAACCCCTACGACCAGCACAGCATGCGGGAGGGACACCGCTACAAGCTGGTGGGCATCCGCGCCAAGATGGTGGCGGTGTGCTGCGCGATCCGCCCCGACGGCCTGGGCGGCGAGACGGCGCTGCCGCTGCACTTCACGCTGCAGGTCGGCGCGACGCTCCCGCGCTTCGCCCTGCCCGAGGGGCTGGCTTGCGCCGACAAGGCCTACGAGCGGGCGGTGCGCGACAGGCTGGCGCTCGTCCAGCGCAGCTTCGACATCGACGAGTTCTCGCGCGCGGTGCGGGAGGCGCCGCTCGTCGACCCCCCGCCTCCTGCGGGCGGCGGCGGCGGCTCGTCGGGAGCGACGACCGGGGGCCGGGACGTGTCGAGCCCCAAGCCGGGGAGGTCGGCGCCGGCCCCGCATGGCGGCCACGTGCCCTACACGCGCGAACCCAGCGGCTGCCCCTTCCAGCAATGGCCGCCGGGGTGCGGGCACGGCGGGGGCGGCGGGGGGCGGCTCCAGCTCGGCTGCTTCGGCGGAGGCGGCGGCGGCAGCGAGGCGTCGCTCGCCCGCTCCTCCCGCACGTGCTCGTCGGAAGAGGAGTCGCCCCGAGGGGTCGCGGCCCTGCCGCCTCTGTCGCGCGACCGTCGCTCCGTCAACGACGAGAACTGGCACGGACGGCGACGGCTACGGCGGCGACGGCTACGGAGGCGACGGCGGCGACGACTACGGCGACGACGACGGGGAGTACGTCCTGCCCGAGGAGCCGCGCGCGCCGCCGCCGCCGCAACAGTCGTCGTCGTCGCACTCGGGACGCCCGCCCGGCGCCGATCTTCCGTACGAGGAGCTGTGGTCGGAGCGAGCCGTGGCCGCCGGGAGCCCCCGGCTGCTGACGCGGGGAGGGAGGGGATGCCGGGGGGAGGTGGACGCGCCAGGCGCCAGGGAGGCGGCGGCGGCCGCGGTGTACAGCTCCCCACCACGCGCCGGGCACCACGACCGCTCGCTGCCCCCGCCGCCACTCCCGCCAAAGTCGCAGGCGGTGAGGCTCGGCGAGGACAGGCATACATCGGTTGCTCACCGTCGTTGGGGTTGCTCACCGTCGTTGGGGTTGCTCACCGTCGTTGGGGTTGCTCACCGCCGTCGGTTGCTATCGCGCGTTCCTCGCAATCGTGCATTGTAACGATACATCTGGCACCTTTCGCTGCCTTCACGAACCTACCCTGACCTGTGCGGTGATGTATGGCTGTATAATACCCCCACCACTGACGCGGCATGGGGTGAGGCATTCATCGGCCTGTTGATTGATAAAGGGATGTGAATCATTACTCTGGTGAAACCATTTGGGGAAAAATAATTATCGAATTAAATTGCGACTATTTTTCAAATTGTGGTGGCATTGGGAATCAACCGTGCCACCCCTGCTCAGAAGTTCTGTCCTGAACCTATTCGTCACCTGTGTTTTTCTGTTACATATAGCTCAGATACAATACCTGACATCAAACTGACAATCTTTATGAGTTGAAACTAAAACATTTTTTTTTTGCTTAACAACATTCGAAACAAAGTGACAGCTTTTGCAGTAAAAAAACCCAACAACAAATCTTGGCAGTGGAATGAAACATCGATCCCCCCCGTGCTCCATTAATCTGCCCGTCCGCCGGCACCGCCGCACGCGCGTGGCGCCCGTGTCTCCTTCCAGGTGAAGGCCGAGTGCCGAGCCATGCAGGCCCAGGCGCCCCCCGTGCCCCCCCGCAGCACCAAGCCCCCCTCCACGCCGACGCTGAGCCCCCGGCTGCCTCCGCGCACCCCCCGGCCGCAGCTCAGCCAAGCGGCGGCACGCTCGCCGAGCCCCAGCCTCTCGTACTACTCGTCCGGGCTGCACCACGTGTACGTGACCCTCCCCCCCACCACCACCGCCCACTCTCCCCCCCCCCTCCAACCCCATACCCCCCACACTCCGCCCAAACTCTCTCAACCCACGGCGGGAACGACGCGCGCTGCTGAACTTCCGGCGCGGTGACAACAATTTCCTGAATTCCGTAGGGATGATGGCCTGAGCCCATCCGGCATGAGAACTTGTAACTTTCTTACAGGGCAGTATGGGTAATCTCTTGACGGCAGTACCGCCTGGCTAGGTTCGGATGCATGATGGGATGGGTGGATAGATAGTAATCCTTAATGCGGCACCGTGATCAGTTTTTCCGCGCTGCATAGTTGCGCAATAAAATCCCCGACACCACTTAAGTGTGATCACCGATTGCCGGCACTCCTTCTGCAAGTGGTGACCCTGATTGGCTTAACACCTTATCATGGGACCTCATTTGCCAGTACTAAAATATGAGAATATGAGAATAGGTACTGTCTGCTCACCCCAAGCTCTCATTACCCTGATAGTGCGTTGTCTTTGGGCTGTACACCTTTTGGGATCCTCTGGTCTAACACTGTTTGAGACGAGGCTCGAAAGAAAGCTGTCTCTGGTGTGGACCAATCAGTTTCAAGGACAATGCATATACTATCAGAGTATGTTTTTGTTTGCATTCTGACCACAAGCATTGTGGTTAATGCAGACATGATTCCTTGTAAAAGGTTTCAGTTTTGGTGTTTTAACATCTCAACACCTGTTTTGTTGCTCGAAAAGGAGGTCCCATGAGGATAACGGTGCTTTGACGATGCTTGGAAGATTATGACGACATATGCATGTACGCACGTTGAACTTCTTTCGCACCGCACGAAAGCCATCCGTGCTAATCTGTAGTGCGAACTCTGTCAAAGGAAAATGCGATTGTTACAAAAATTTGGTTAAAAGATTAGGGACAAGCCCGCTGCTCTCTCCACATCTTGTCATATTTCTGCTGGAAATCGGTGGGAAAGGCCGAACCCACCAGCGCGCGCACAGGGGCCCCCGCGATCAGCAGCGCCGTAATTCCCCGATGACGTACGCGGCGTCCCTGAGTGGCGCTCGTGCCAGGCGCGGTGCCGCTCCCCCCGTGGGGGGGGCTGCCTGCGATCGCGACCGATGGCGCGGCGTGCAGCGCTTCAAGCCGGTTGTCCGGACGTCGTCGCGTCATTCGGAACAGGCGGTGGCGAGGAAGCGAGCAAAATAGCAAACGAACGACGGATGATGACCGACGCGTCGCGAGAAAACGTAAGCGGGAGAAACAAAGCGCGGACGCCGCTTTTCCGGGGGACGAGCCCTTGCCACTCCTCGTAAAGCTAGAGAGAGAGAGACAGGAGAGCGAGACAGGGAGGGAGGGAGTACTACAATGACCTCACTTCCTAATGAAATAATAATGAGGGGCTATAATGTCGGAGGCCGGAGGCTTGCTTCTGAGAGATGATTCATGTGCAGATGGTCGTTGGCCACATTAATCGCAGCGCCCGGCAGTTATGTTTAGTGGACGGTGCAGTCCACGACTCACTTTTGCTGGCGAGGTTTTGGCTGATGAGTATTAGGGGTCTGTGTGTGCGTGTGCAACGATGCATTGTAACATCAATTAATATCGATGCTTAGGCTCCGCAATGCGTGCGCCACATCACATGTGTACGAAACTTTGCGAGTGTGTTTCTGTATGTGTTCTACGCACGGATTCGTATCCGTTCACCCAGTGTTGACAGAAGTTAACTAAACAATTTTATTTGACCAGGTAAGGCCCACTGAGCTTTCTAGCTCTTTTTCAGAAGCGACCTGGCCACAAATGATAGCGCAACGAGGTGGCTTGTCACGTGGGAATTATTGCAGCCAAGTACTCTCAACGCGTGACGTTGATTCTAAACGTGGAGGGAAAAACTGGAGGACCCGGAGAAAAATCCACGCGACCACGGGGAGAGAGACACGCAAACTCCAAATATACAGCAGGCGTCAGGGTTGGGATGGAACCCCCCACGACCTCCTGTATACCAGACGAGGTAGTTAAACATCTCGCCATCACGGTGCCCCAAAAATGAGCGTAGTCGTAATGTATATATATGTTGAACTTCTTTTGCACTGTACGTAGCCAACCGTGATAATTGGAGGTGCATACATGAGCATGGTAGTAATAAGGAGATACAATTATAATTTGCATGAATCGTAAAAAACATTCTTAAATGCGCACTATGACACTCGCTTGTGAGCGCTCGTTGCTATTATTGTTGCTAAGTGTTTTTTTTAATGTGTGTGTGTATATATATAAAACATTCTCATTATTTTTAAGCTGAGAGCAGCGCACAATATTATCTTTTGTTTTGGAAACCAGTTGTTTGAGTTTGGTGCACACACACGTTTTGTGTTGAGACAGCGATCCAGATCCCGTTGGCAGTGCAGCCCGAGAGCAAACAGCTGTTGCAATACCGACGGAAACAATGTGGGTTTACTGGGAAATGAGGGTCAGAAGCTGACATTGTCTCTCGTGCCGTATGATATTGTTCCTGTTTCTATTTACACCGCCATCCATCGGCGGCGCGTGTCCGGTTTGGTGGCGGAGTAGCGTGGGGCAGGGGGGGGGTTTAGGGTTCACGGCTCCCGCAATGACCGAGGTGGTTTGCGATCTTGGAATCTCGGCCGGCGGTTTGATTCGGCCCATCATCGCAATTGCGGTTGATAAAAACTCGCACTCAGGAAACGGCGAATTTCCACGACTGAGCCCGTAACACCGTGTTCTTCATTGCAAGGCCCGCGGGCAAATGGCAGGCCCCTTGGTGGCCTTCAATGCGGCTCCTGACGTGCGGCCCCCGACAATACACAAATGTGAAAACACCCTCGTCGTGCTGCAGTCAAACCCCAATGGTTCCAAATGTGTGGCGGCCGTCACACTGGTAATGCCTTATTGGCAAAAGTAGCCCTCACCCCCTCTGACAACGTGTGAAGAAACACTGCCTTGACAGGAAGTGAGCGCCACGCAGCAGCACTTGTATGAATGTTGGACTTCTTTTGCGCCGTACGTAGCCAACCGTCCGAATTGTAGGTGGATGGTAAAACCTCTGTGACTCTTCGACTTACATTTAATCATTCATCCGTAGGTGTGCGTCATACTGTGGAAGTCTGTGATACGAGTTCACCCATTGCAGGTTATGAGTTATCTGAATGCAATTATGACCTTAAATCATCAATTCATTCAAGCCGTGCTGCACCTCTTACGTTGTAAGTTGTGTAACCGTACAATGTCTGTTTATCTTCTTGGTTCTTTCGGTAAAGTCACGTAGAAGGGAAGTAATAAAATAATAAAAATAAAACATAATATTATATTATTTTATTACGTTTTATTTTTATTATTTTATTAATTCCCTTCTACGTGACTTTACCACAAGAACCAAGAAGATGAATCCCTGCAGTCACGAAAGCTTTAAATCGAAAAATGTCTGTTTATCCATCGTGAGTGTATGTACGTATGTATACATAGCTATTTTGCAAATCCACTGCTGGATGGGATCTCCCTAGACTGTGGCGGGCGGCGGGCATTATTTGATTGCACTTCTCCACGATCAATACACACACTCGGTCTCTTTAAATTCACAGCGAAGAGTTGCTGCTCGGCACACACGGAAGCAGGAGGAGCCAAATTGTCCGTCGACATCCCCCCCCCCCCCCCCCAGCTTGTCCTCCCCACAAGGCTGTGTGGTCCACGCAGCCTTCACCGGGGAGGGTTCTTCGGTTCCTACCCAGCGCAACTGACCGTTTCCCGAGCTCGAGTTTTTGGGCCATGACTGACGTCCGTGGCAATTATCCGAACCAATCCCGGGTCTCCTCTAGGTCGACTCGGTGTTAAATGAGTAGCTGGCGTCGCTTTGAAGACTTCGATTTGCGGATAACCGCCCGCGGATATGAGGATCTGCGGTATGGGTCCCCCATGTCAAAATAAGATATTTATATTATTTTTCTGCTATAAATGTCCAATTGAAAAGCCACTTTGTTGAGCTATCATTTGTGGCCAGGCTGCTTCTGAAAAATAAGCTACCTAGCTCACTGCTTTGCCTGGTAGGATGGGGATGGTTTCGTTCTATTTGTCTGTGTTTGGGTGATTTTTTTTCTTGTACTTTGCACTCCTATCGTGTCATTGTATTGTTTGTTGCTGTAACGTTCTGACCCGCCCCGACTGGACATCTGTAAAAAATAGCTTCATAGCTCATCGGATTCCTCCTCCAGTACAAATAAATATTCCGATAAAAGGACCTAAACTGCATATAGACGCACGACCTATTTACACGGTGTGTAAGTAGGTTCTGTAGATGAATGAACAATTGATTGCAAGTCTTAGGACTCGGTGAGGCTTTTCTGGGTAAATACTGCAATGGGCCTTATTTTTATTCTATGTATCCGTCTCTCTGATTACTCTCTCTCCCCCATCGCACTCGCTCTCACTCGCTCTCCCAGATTCTCCTGCCTCGCAGTCTCAACGCAGATGCCCCAAACGCCCCACATGTGCTCCAGGCTGACGCTCTCAATATTTAATGGCAGTGGCGCCTCTTAGCAGATGGGCGTGCGCATCTTCGTGCTAACCCGCCCTGAGTGCGCACGGTGCAGATTCCATCGAACATTGGACTTTGTAGGCATCCAGCAATGCATCGATTCGTCGACTTAAAATCGATGATTTACGTGTATAAAGTCCTGCACTTGAAAATAGATTACTTACGATTTGCATACACTGTGCATGCAAACGATCAGCTAATGAAACATTTAAGGCTAAAGGAACCAAAATAACCATACAAGTGAAAAACTATTTAAAAGAATGAGTTGGTAAAAACGAGCCTAGAAAATAATTGAACTCTTGGATCGAATCCAGACCCCGAATTGCGACGACTCATTGCATCGCCGGGGTGGTAATCATCACGTACCTACAACTACAATGCAACACATGGAGTGAATGTGTGTGTCTGCATGTAAGTATTGGTTGTAATGTAGCAAGCGGTGTCATAGGGGTTCATGCACTGAGCTGCAATCCCAGCGTCGGTGTGGGTTCAATTGGAGGCGGTGACACGCGCCCGGCGGTTGCGCGTTCGCCACTTACTGCAGAGGTTCACGGTCCGAATCCAGAGTCGTGTGCAGAGTTGAGACGCGCGGGAGAGAACAGGCAGCAGGGCATGGTACGGCACGGGCCACACCACCGCCTCATTGTGCACTGAACAGGGCTTCTCTTATAGTGCGTCTCGAGCATTTATTTGGTATTTGCAAAGGTCTCTGTGCGAACACGTGCACTTCCACTCTTGCATTGGGAGAAATGTTGCTTCTCTTCTCCATTCATGAATCTTGTTTGCGAGGCGTTGTGTCGACTGCTGGCCCGGGGTGGTTTATTTCCTCCTCGCTCACTTCAAACGTTATGCTTGGCCGCTTTGCTGTTAGAAAACACAACGAAATGCTATTGATCGTCACCGAGGAGCCCCGACACTCATTCAGGTTTTTTCGCCGTTCGAGTGAGCTGCCAAGGTCACGCGCAGGGGAAGTGCCGTACAGTGCCACGGCCGTTTAAGAATGGATCGAGCCCTCCACAGCGCCGATGTCCATTAATCTCCGTAAATATCACATCCGCAAGCGGGCGGCGGTAATGCCCGCTTTATGGAGCCCATTCATCTTTCCATTTTGGGAGCGGCGCATTTCCGTTTCTGACTAAATAGGGGGGCTTCTATTCCTCGAAATTGCTGACTCAAAGTGTTTTAAAATAACTTTTGTGGACTTCCTCGCGGTAATACATATGAAATGTTGTATAGCTGCCGACAGCCATTTAACTTTATTAAAATAAGTGAACGTGAGTCTATTCACTGACCGATGGCGGTCTATACATTTTACACATTGCATTATGTTGCGGAGGCAGACGTATAATGTTACGCGTACAAAATTTTCCTGCAAGTAATTTGACGATCGTATTGTTGGCTTAGTGAAATGTCAGATATTATACGGTGTTCTCATTCACTTGTGCAGCAAAGAGCACTCGCCATGGAAGGTTGTGTCACGAATGTGAATTCGCAATCTCTCTGTCTCCATGGAATAACGAACATCTCCATTGTTGGCCCAGAGGCAGGGATGGAAATTATACATTTTGATGGTGGGGAGTGAGGCTTCCAATGTAGAACAGACTTTTGGGCCAAGTGCTGTTAGCAAGCACCTATGAAGGCCGGCCCGAGGGGGTGGATGGTCAGTACCTCACCCGGCCACCTTTTTCTCTTGAGTAGTGATGTTTATGCATCGCATCAGGTACACATTTGAGGCTGAGTCGACCTAGAGGAGGCTCGGAACCAGTTTAGATAATTATCACTGGTTTTGGCCGTGTGCAGGAATCGAACTCGGGTAGCCGGGTTACACTCACAGGTACACTACCACCATCACACGCATGTCTGCGGGTGGTGATGATGCAAATTGTGGGTACTCCCACCTCTTCTATGACGTCTGGTCAGCATGGAAGAGTAGGCCAAATGCCTCTTTAGAGGGGCTCTCCAGAGCTCCCTCTTGTGGATATTCTTCAGTCAGCAGTCACTTGAGCGGGAAAATTCAGGCCTCTACGTTTACATTTGACGGTGGTTTGACTCTCGCGAATTGTTTATCCAGGGGTGTGAGGAGCAACGCGACGTGGATGGCCCAAGCGAACACGGACCCCGGAGCCGGCTTCTGCTACCCCTGCGGCTGGACCTGCGATCACAGCAATGGTGGCAGTCGGCGGCGCCGTCACCGTTGGCCCTCAACACGACCGCTCGGCCCGGCCTTCTCTCTCCGACGGCCAGTCGGTAAAGACCTCCTGGTCGGAGACGTGGAGCCGGGGCTCCAGCGAGAGCGATGGCGGCCACTACCTGACGCCCGACGCGTCGCTGTCCAAGCACGTAAACTTCTTCTACGGTGGTCCCCGCCCACGCGCGGTGCCACCAGGCGCCCCAGCGCCGGGCCGACGCCGGGGCCACCGCGCCCGCGGCCGTTTGCGGCGCCGACAGCCCCGAGGAGTCGCCGGCATCCCGAGGGTGGGCGACTGGCTGCGGCGCTCCGCCTCCCTCGCTCTGCCCTCCGTTCGGCAGTGGCTCGGCGAGCCCGGCGGACGGCGGCGACCCATTCGACCCGTTCATGCCCGCGCCGGATGAGAGGCGGCCGCCCGCGCCCGCGCACAACGGTTGCTGCGTGGTGAAGCAGCCGGTGCTGTCGCTGCTCGCGCGCGGAAGCCTCCCGCCCTTTGACAGGATCCTGTCTGCGGAAACAGTGCAACAGCCCGGCACGCCGGGTGCCGCCGGGCCCGTGTGCCCGCTCTCTCCACCGCGGCCTCCGAAACCGGGGCGCGCCGCCGAGCTCCACCAGGGCCCGCTCGCGCCATCGCCACTCATCTCGTCCTGGGAGCTTCCGGTGGAAAACGGGACAGAGGTTTTTTCGTTGGGGATGGGCGGCGAGGCCTACCTCAGGCTGTCGGACACAGACACGGGCCCGGGCGGCCACGAGCTCGGCGAAGATCCCTGGAGGCCCCCGTTGGACCTGGCAGGGCTGTCAGTGGAGGGCGTGTGCCGGTGCCTGCGTTTTCTCGGGTTGCCAGAAGGGCCCGTGGCAAAATTTTCTTCCGAGAAGGTGGACGGGTCGCTGCTCGCTCAGCTGTCGGAGGAAATGCTCCTCAACGACTTTGGGTTGGGGAAGCTGCAGGCCAGGAAGCTGCTGCAGTTCGTCGCTGGGTGGCGCCCAAAACTGTGAGGCCGGCGACGTCGACGGTTCGCGAGCGACGCCGCGTTAAGTCCTTTGCGACGAGCGCTCGCGTCCGTTGGTTTACACCACAACCGAACGCACACCGTGCAGTTATTTATTGGCATTAATCAGAGTTGCTGTCTACTGTAACGTTCTCACGATGCTCTAAGCAATGGTTAGGCCGTTATGCGCCGGCTTCGTTAACTGATTTGGCGGTAAAACGTGAAAGCACTAACTTCATTTCACAACTAATTTGTTGTACTTATTTTTGAGTAACCTTTCGCAAAAAAACTAAAGGCCTTTACGCATCCTGTTTATGTGTGTGTATGTATGTATATACGAGGGGCGGTCGAAAACTTTGGATTCGGCGAATGCTAAAAAAAAGAAGATAAAACTGCACCAACGTAAATTTGGGCTCATTTTTAAGCCTCCATTTTGTACGCATGCGTCGTGTAACGTGAACGAAACCGTAGGTAACGAGGATCGTTCCGCCGAGGACCGCACGCGCGAACTCGTGCAGTGACAACGGCTCTCTTCTGTGTCGTTTTGTCAGGATGGGACTTGGGTAATGGGGAGGGGGAGCGCTGAAAAAAACACTCCTCTTGTCCACAAAAAGTCACAGCTAAACACGGATATCAAGATACATTTTTTACCGTGTGACTCCTCCGTTCTCAGAATGCGCGGAATCGTATGAATTTTCTGTATGACTCTTTTATCCGTGAAAAATACGGATAATTAAGATGACATTTTCAACACGACTCTTATCCGCATGTTCGTGCACCCAGCAGTTATTTCAGAAAATCGGAAGATATCAGGGATCATGGATAACATGATGATGGAAAAGAGGAGTTAATGCTGTATTTAATATTCCATTTTTAAAATGTTTTGACCATTTCTTACACAGTATTGCTTATATAATTTGTATATACGAGTATGTAAAGCATCTGTTAGAAACTCTATTGTTTATGCTAAAGCGTAAAACGATTGTGAAGAATTAGTACGTTCAATGTTTGTGCTTGTTTTATTTGACACGAATGCCGTCTCCAAGGTATTAAGATCAACATAGGTTCTTCAACGATGTGCAAATATTGCTCCGAGTTATCTTCCACTTTTTCAGTCATTCACTAAATTGTCTCGTGAACATCCTGAATACGCGACAAGCCACACAAACTGCGTTGATATCAGCAATGGTTACTCCGGATGCCTTGCAGGCGTCCGGTAAGAAGAATCGTTTCCATTTAAAAAAAAAAACGGTATCCAATGTTTCGATTTAAAGCTTTCGTGACTGCAGGGATTCATCTTCTTGGTTCTTTCGGTAAAGTCACGTAGAAGGGAAATAGTAAAATAATACAATTTAAACATAATAATGTTATTATGTTTTATTTCCACGTAGAAGGGAAATAATAAAATAATACAAATAAAACATAATAATGTTATTATGTTTTATTTTAATAATGTTATTATGTTATATTTTTATTATTTTATTATTTCCCTTCTACGTGACTTTACCGAAAGAACCAAGAAGAAGTATCCAATGTTTTGTTATTTAGCTATTGCGATTTAGAACAAAAAATGTTGATGTCATGTTACAAATGCTGAATCATAATATTTTGTTTTGCCATTCGCTGGCCACAGGGGAATTTGCGGAGTAACTGTCAAGAACGTTGAGTGTTAAAGATGTCGAAGACCTAGGGCCCTCCTTTAAAGTTTCGCGAGTCGTCTCTGTCTATCGAACTCACGGCCATGCCTTTCCAGCGATCACTGTGATGATGATGAATGATTAACGCGTGCGCCGTGATGTGTGGGAGCCGTTGCAGCAAGACTGACGGACCGGCCCTTCACCTCATGGCCTTCAGACCCAGCACAGAACAATGAATGTGGCATTTTTGAAGCCTGTCACGTCCTCCGTTGTAAAAAATACATTGACTACAATTGACCGAAGCGTTTTGGATTTCTTTCGCCGTCATTACAAACAAAATCACTTTATTTTCCCAGTGTTTTTTTTCTCCATATACACGCAATATACACAATCTGTTTTATTAGCCGTGCTTACCTGAATCTGAATATTTATACTGGAGGAATCTGATGATCATTCACGCAATTTTTCACAGACGTCCAGTACGGGCAGGTAAGGACGCTATAACAACAAACAATACAAAAGCATAATAGTCGTGCAAAGTACAAGAAAGGTAAACGAATCGCCCAAACACATAAAAATACAACTAAACCATCCCCATCCTACCAGGAAAAGCCCACTGAGGTATTGCCTTCTTTTTCAGAAGCGACCTGGCCACAAATGATAGCTCAACAAAGTGGATTATTATTTGGTTATTCATAGGAGCTAAATAATATAAATAATCTCCTTGTTCTTAAGGCCCCCACTCATTTACCTTCAGTCAAGTCAATTTTATGTTTGTATAAATTCACTCGTTGGCAGTGCCGGATTAAGCTAGTGCAGGGGTTTGTGGCATATGTCATAAAGGGGCCCTAAATAAAAAAAAAACACGCAAATATTAAAACACAAATTTGTGTATTTGCATAGTAAAGTAATTGCATTTTTTCATTTGCTATACCGGTCAGATAATATGACAAATCGCTAACCTTAAACACCCAGTCGTTCATGAAAGTTGAAGGCAGTAGAGTACTATAGTAATAGAGCAAGTGCAGAATCACTGAACTGGAATTGATAGCTTGAAAACATTTAGCACGGGGCCCTTGAAAGTGCGAGGCCCGTAGCTACATATGTAGCTACTCTTGCTACGAGGATAATCCGGCACTGCTCGTTGGTAGTTCATGACGCCCGAGTATGCTGACTTGGTGTGTATGGAATGCTGCAATCGTTTTTATTAGGCGCCCAAAAATTAAACCAAAGGGGGGAGGAAAAAGTGTCCCATTGCCCAAGCAAGATTCTACATTTGCATGGTGTGGAACCCAGTGCCGGATTATCCCAGTAGCAAAAGTAGCTACATATGCTACGGGTCCCGCTCTTTCAAGGGCCCCTCGCTAAATGCTTTCAAGCTATCAATTTCGGTTCAGTGATTCTGCACTTTCTCTATTACTATAGTACTATACCGCCTTCAACTTTTATGAACGACTGGGTGTTTAAGGTTAACGATTTGTCGTATTATCTGGCCATATAGCAAATGAAAACATGCAATTACTTTACTATACAAGTAAAAAAAACGTGTGTTTAATATTTATGTGATTTTTTATTGAGGGCGACTTTTTTAACATATGCTACAGGCCCCGCACTAGCTAAATCTGGCACTGTGTGGACCAGTTTCCCACCCCCCCCCCCCCCCCCCCCAAGGACACACGTCTGTTGACTTTACGCTCAAACAGCAATCGTCAAAGCGAACCTCCGTATGCAATTAACTCGCAATGCAATTAACTCGCCGTGCAATTAGCTCCCAATGCGGCAAAGTACTTGCATAATTCGTACAGCTCTCGTTTTAATTTTGCCATGCGAGCAACATTGCTTCGTCAAAGATCCATCAGTCTATACTCTTAGTTCTTTCGGTAAAGTCACGTAGGTAAAATTAATAAAAATAAAACAATAAAAATCACGACGTTTCAGAGGCAACACAATCACGTCGTGATTTTTATTGTTTTATTTTTTATTAATTTTACCTACGTGACTTTACCGAAAGAACTAAGAGTATGAATCCTTGCAGTCACGAAAGCTTCAAATCTAGAATCCATCAGTCTACCCACGAATTTCAATTACTGAGCAAAAATGTGCCTAGCCTGTCGGAATGAATAACTTTCCCATGAAATGCGTTCAAATGAATTAAGCAACAAACGAAGTGGCTACGTTCATCGTATCCACGTATTCAGAATGACATAACGGGGAAAAAAACATCTCAAGTGGTGTCAATCGTTAAGGAGGCTATTTATTTCTTAAGTATTCAATCAATTAATATACATTAGTTTTTGGCACGGACAGTGGGCCTCAAAATCAACGTTAAATGGAATAAAACACATCTTACTCACAAATCCTGAGCAGTAACAAACGGGAGTTGAGTTTCACTTCGAGGCCCACAGACATGACCTTTGACTCATCCTCAATTCTTGGATGTGTTTGTGGGTCGCACCGCATGTTGTCCAGCACGATGTCCGACCTTTCGCTCCCAAGTCATGGTAGCTTCTGCAATTTTGTTCAAGAAGAAGCAGCTCCGACAGATATAACGGCACAACCGTGAAAACCCATGTAATCTTCTTACTACGTTATAAAATATATATTCGAATATTGGCTAGGATTTATGATCTTCTTGGTTCTTTCGGTAAAGTCACGTAGAAGGGAAATAATAAAAATAAAACATAATAAAATACAATTCTCACGACGTTTCAGCCATAACGCAAGCAGCCGTCCTCAGGTGTCGGACAACCCTGTTCTTTTTTTTTTTTTATTATTTCCCTTTTACGTGACTTTACCAAAAGAACCAAGAAGATGAATCCCTGCAGTCACGAAAGCTTTAAATCGAAATTTAAGGATTTATGATTTAATTTGGTCTCATCTGCCACCTTCAATTTTTATTTATTATTATAATTAAGGGCCACCACACAAGACAAAGAGTCCGAATCTCACATGAAGCGGAATATGTACGGTTTATAGAGCGTGTCCAAAGATTTGAGTGCACAAGTCCGGTGTCTCAGGTCATCCCGGGTGGTCGGTGAGACTCATCAACTCGGCTTCTCTCAAGCTCGCTCGTTTGAGCACGTAATTTCGTAAGTGAAGCCCTCAAGCTTTCTTGGCGATTTTTCTGAGAATTCTGCAGTTCCCTAATGGTGCAATTGATCGTTCTCAGAAAGTCTGGTGCTAATAGCGAATTGCAATTGCAAACACAGTAAAAACATGAATACTGGCAGAATGCATTTAGTGTGTTATATACTCTGAACTTCTTTTGCACCGTACATCGCCAACCGTGCTAATCGGAGGTGCGGGAAGAGGGGGACAGCACACTGAACACAACAATTAGTTCTCAGGAGTTCCTTCCGAGTAATGTGCCCTGCTCAAGGTTAAAGGTCACACGAGGCAGGTAGAGAGTTAGCTCTCCTGCCTTGGGATTGGCCCAGAGAAGAACTGACTGCAATGCCCATTGCACCTGGGGGCACAACACCACGTGACACTTGGTAGATTGTTGAATTGTCAGGATCGTGAGAGCTGGTGGTGGATTGGGAAGGCCTTCATCCAGCATTGGATCGACCGTGGCTGGGTGGATTTCATTTACCTGCAGATAATGAATGTTATGCTGTCATCGATTAAGTATAAATTAATACAAATGGTGCAGTTGGGAGTGATTTTCTAATTTCACTAAGTGCCCACCCACTGTGATATATTAATCCTGGTAACTGCAGCTCATAGTCAAGTTGTGGCATTACTGTAATTTTATATTTATAAAAAGAGGGGGGCATATTGCTACGGAACAAGGTTTTACAACAATGCTCAACACTTGAAAGTTGTAAATATTCACTAATCTCCTTAAGCAAATGGCATTTAAAAGCATGAACAAAAAAAACGATGTATTGTGACGACTGTATAGCGTTCGGTAACACGTTGAACCAGTATTTCATGCGTCTTGCAACAACAACAAAACACTCCCTGGATTTGAATTGCAAGAATGACCCATCACTGGACTCAACGGGACTAACCAGACACCCACGAAACGACTGCAAATAGCCACGCGCATTGCTCTTGAGCGTTCTCAATGATGCTGATGGTGATGCTCGCTCTTTATTGAAACGCTCGCAACGACGTAATTATCTTTTTACCCCATTCCCAGCGGTCGGTGGAAGGTGTCGTCGAAAGGCGGCTTTCCTGAACGAGTGGCGACCCCCACGAACCCCGTAAACACCGACGTAGCACCGCCCTCCCAGCAACACGAGGAGCCAATTGCTTAGCCCAAATCTGCTTGCCATGGGTTGCCGGCAGCGTGATGTCATCGATTGGGCAATCGTTTGTTCCTGGAAGGCAGGGGTGGCGGGGGTGCGAACCCAAGATATGTTACCGTAGTCCTTCTTACAAATGTGCATCTTCCTCTTGAGAAGCATTTTGACCGTTGTTATTTTACACAGTTTACCCATTAAGGGGCCCATCCATTTAGTACGTACGCATGGAGGGGGGGAGGGGGGGGATTAACCCAAATGCGTACGCTTGCGTATTGGAGGTCTACTGGCAATGTACGTATGCATAGGAAACGGGGGGAGGGGGTGTGAAGCCTCGATAATAATTTGTCTACATTGGCCTTCAAATGAGCCACAGTTCAGTTTCTTCAGCTGTCAGACAAGCAGCTCAGTCAGGCGTACGTACGCAGGTGGGGGGGGGGGGTGCGTCAGGCGTACGTACGCAGGTGGGGGGGGGGTGCGTCAGGCGTACGTACGCACGTGGGGGGGGGGGGGGGTCAGGCGTATGTACGCAGGTGGGTGAGGGGGTGCGTCAGGCGTACGTACGCAGGTGGGTGAGGGGGTGCGTCAGGCGTACGTACGCAGGTGGGGGGTGTTAAAAGTCCGCGTGCGTACAGGGAGGGGTGGAGCGGTGACGTTTTGACAGATTTTTGCGTACCTACTCAATGGCTGGCCCCTATACACGGCAAGCGGTTGGGTCACCGCCGGTGGCATTCGGTTTCTAACGAGCGGACCAAAACGTCCAATGTGTATCCCGGCTATATACTGAACTATCATTTGTAGTTGACCCTTGCGAGTCAATTGGCATGAGGTTGGAACCAATGGACTAGACTTTGGCCCAACGTTCCATGTGTCCTGCCTGTAAATTGTACTCGGCTGCATTTGTAGTTGATCCTTTGCGTCTCTCTTACAACGCCACCGTTGGCATCGTGGAAGCAGTTGATTGGCTGGATTAAGGTTCTTGTAGGCCTGAGGCACTTCTGTTTCGTCGTCCTTTGGTGATGACTTTATAAAGTTGCTGCTGCTGCTGCC